TTATCACAATGTTTTGGTCATTGTGCTCTCCAACCTTCATCAGGTGTATATCAATCCAGGTAACCTGCAGGGAATTCTGAACTGAACCCTTTATTTAATCTAAAGTGGTAGACTCTTCTCGTTCTATTGCACATGTTTAGGGATATCTCATCTAGTTCTTATTTTTAATATTGTTCAGTTATTACTCAGCTATTCCATCTTTATATGTTATTTGTTATTATATTAATTTCCCTCTTAATGTATTATATATTGCTTCTTGAATTAATAGAATACAAAGGGAATAAGGATGATTTGACCCTGTGTATGTAGCATGGTGGCTCATGGTTGTGTAGGTTTGTACTGGTGGAACTAAATAGTGGCCTGGTGACTCATGGCTGTGTAGGTTTGTACTGGTGGAACTAAAGAGTGGCCTTTGTGACTCATGGCTGTGTAGGTTTGTACTGGTGGAACTAAAGAGTGGCCTGGTGGCTCATGGCTGTGTAGGTTTGAACTGGTGGAACTAAAGAGTGGCATGGTGGCACATGGCTGTGTAGGTTTGAACTGGTGGAACTAAAGAGTGGCATGGTGGCACATGGCTGTGTAGGTTGGAACTGGTGGAACTAAAGAGTGGCCTGGTGGCTCATGGCTGTGTAGGTTTGAACTGGTGGAACTAAAGAGTGGCATGGTGGCTCACAGCTGTGTAGGTTTGAACTGGTGGAACTAAGGAGTGTAGTTAATCCAAACATTTGTCATGGAAATAGCAATAGAATGGTTATAGGCTTGTGATGTTTATTCAAAAAGCATCCAAGTACCACCTTGATGAAGTGGCCTTGTTGCAGATTTGAATCAACTCACAACAAAGAAAAAGGTTTTTAAATATAAAATATTTTTATTTATGTGTTCTTACAACTAAATTTTTTCTCAGCATGTATGAGTAGTATAGCTCTTGCGTCAAAGTTCCTTGTTTGTAGTTGTTTGTTAAAATGAAAATAAATATGATTTCTTTGCATGTATGTGTGAGAAAAAGAGAAGCGAGTGAGGAGGAAGAGTGTAAATATCATGTAGCTTGTTGAGGAAGACAGGTGAATAAGTAAAGGAAATATGCTAAGCCATGATGTCATGAATCTGTTGCAATATGTTGCCACTCCTTCTTACTGGTTTTGTCCATCTAGAGACTTTACTTAAATACTCTTCAAAGGGATCCTGAAACATATTTTTTATTGCTGGCAGGAATCTGACCCATTGGTTGAAAAATGTTAAATATTTATTTTCAAAGGATTAATTTATTAATCAGAAGTATGCACAGATCCTCTGACTCAGAAACCATCTAGAGACTTTACTTAAATGCTCATCAAAGTGACCGCAAAACATGTTTTTTTATTGTTGGCAAGAATGTGACCCATTGGCTGAAAAATGTCAAATATTTATTTTCAAAGGATTAATTTATTCACTGGAAGGATAAGCAGGTCCTCCAACTTAGAAACCATATTTTTTGTCACTTGATGTTTGACCATTTTGGTGTTTATTTCTGTTTTCGTTCCACAGCCTTTCATCTACATTGGTGTCTATGTAGGAAGTAAAGACTTGAAGTCAATGAGAAATGGTACAGCCACAAATGAGAGGAGGTGATAAAAAATATCCAAATCAAGATGGGACTGTTTCCTTAAGGCCAACAAACTAAACATCACTGTCATTGATGAAGAACCAAGAGAATGCTTCCTCATAGGTATCAAGATCAAAGACATTGACAAGCTTATGAAGTGCACCGTCCACCAGATTGAAGTTGTCAGAATGTGGGGTGTTCAGGCAACTATTGTCCCAATTATCATTGGGCCATTGGCATCTATATCATTGAACTTCATTGAGAAAATCAAAATAAAACCTAATATCCCATCACTTCAGAAGTGTCCATTGATTGACATTGCAAATATTATGCAAAAAATGTTCTCTGAGGATGTACAACTTGATAGAGAACATCCATAATGCAAGATCTCCAGTTGAAAACAGAAACCATGTGAATGAAGGTAATAATAATAATAATAATAATAATAATAATAAAAATAATAATAATAATCTCATAAAGTCGAATATGTATTGATTATTTCGGAAGAATGTTGAAAGAGGCTGTGGGTTGGAGAATAGGTTTTCTCCCAACAAGGCCATATAAAGAATTTTGAATTCTGTTAATGTTGGAATGTGAAGATTGTGCAGTTCCGGCCCAGATATGGTAACGATGCATCATTTTTAATCTAATCTGATTCTTGTAAAGATAAAATATGTAGAAGCAGTCAGGTTGCTTCTGAATCTTATTAAATTGTAAAAATTAGATATAATCACAATGATGTCATTGGGCTTGTCTCTGGTTTGAAAAAGGCAAATTCTTAAATAAAGCATGCAGTGAACCTAAACCAATTAAAACCAAAAATCAGAATAAAACCTAATATCCCATCACTTCAGACCTGTGCATTGCTTCACACTGCAAATATTCTGCAAAAGATGCCCTCTGAGGACGTAAAACTTTGTAGAGAACATCCATAATGCAAGATCTCTAATATAATAATAATCTCATGGAGTAAAATATGTGTAGATTATGTGGAAAGAAGCTTGTGAATTTGCATGCATGTATGTAAGAAATATGTGTATGTCTGTGTTACCATATGAGTGACTTACATAAACAGAATTACTTCTTAAATACTTCAAAAAAGATTGTAGAAATATTTTTAGGCTTGTCATTGAATTAAAACACACATATAAACCAATGTGACACTGAGTCTGGGAGGTGGTTAAATGTTAATTCTGAGCAGAAAAAGGGTTAAGCCTAAAATGAAATATAAACTGAGAGAGAGAGAATAGAAGACATTTTCCCTGGTAATGTGGAAGGGAAAAAAAGGGACATCTGGATTGTCTCCCCCTTACGAATTGGAACAATGCACTAGAGTTTACTTTGTTTTATCTATTGAGAATAAAGTTAAAAATGAGAATGCAGTTAAAATAAACTGGGAAATAGTTTTACCTCTTTCTAAACATGTAGGCAGTAGCAAAGGTTTTATACAATAATGGCATCCCAAATTTCCAGGAAACAGTTTTCTAAAGGCAGGTAATCCTTAGGAACCTATTCTGCTTATTTTCTTTTCAATCTGAGCTGAGAATAGAAAAAAATTACTTTATAGTATGAAAAAGATTTAAACCAATTTGGTAATTTAATAGAAAACATTGATTTATTAAGATATTTCCAGATTGAAATTCTGTTCTCATCATATTTCTGCCTAGAAGTATGAGGCTTTTTGACTCTAGTGTCATCAGCTGTGTTATCATTTTTTATCCACATTTGAACTGAATCACTGCAGTCCCAAAGATCCAATGGAAGACCTATCAAATTTATGACTAGAACAATTGCCACATTTTTAACTTCAAGATGATTTCTTTTGTCAGAATAAATTATGTTCATCACAGAAAACCCTCTTTCAGCCTCTGCAGAACTTACAGCAATGGTAATAATTATATTTTTATATCATCTATTAATATATAAGATTATCTTTGGATAATCCAACAACCTGTTCACTAAGCTTTTATCCTTTTAAGAATTGGTTTGCGTGAACCGGTAGGATACCACTATTGATGTAAATGTGCAGACACATACAAACACACACACACTTTGAATTAAATTGAAATGGACATCTGAGTTGTGAGGTTTAATTTCCCTGTCTGGAAACAATTCTTGGTTAACAGGAAAAGAGTATAAACCAAAGTGTGTGATGCTTCGAAATCATTTTTATGATTCATTCTGTATTTAAATGGATTGCATCTTCTAATAAATGGCATATTTTAAGTAGGTAAACAATTTAGATCTTAAATTTGAATACCTTGCTGTCAGCAAAGTAAGGCAACAGGTACCAAACTTCTTCTTTTATGTGCTATCTCCCTTCAGGACATAGCTGACCATGACCCTCCACATCTTCTTGTCCCTTGTAGCTATGAATAAACTTTGTCATTTTGTTATTTCTTCCAAACCCTATTCTACCATCCATTTACTCAAGCTCATCAACTATGTTACATGCTGATTTCCTCTATCACTCTTTCCTTCAATCAGTCCTGTGAGCATCAGGTTTTCTAAACCCTCCTTCCTCATTATTTGCCCCATAAATTTCAACTGCCTCTTCCTGATGTTAAATATAAGTTTCCTTTTTGTTGCTATTTTCTCCAAAACCACATCATTGCTCATATTTTGGTCCATAGTATCCTCAGCATCTTTCTGTAGAACCACATTTCTGTTGCTTCAAGTCTTTTCTTCGTCTCTGAGGAGATTGTCCTGAATTCACTGCTATGCAGGAGGACAGATATCATGTAACAGCTCAATACTCTTTTCTTTTTTCTAAGAAATTTTTTTCTTTTTCTTAATACTCTGCTTAGCTTTTAGAATGCTCCTTTGGAGTTGCTTTAAAAAAATCAATATGTTTATGTAAGATCCAAACACAGAACTATAAAAATCTTCTGGAGCTTCTTTAAAAAAAATCCAAACTTATAACAATCCTTAAGATCCTTAAGGCAGTTTGATCAGCTCAAAGAAGCAGCTTTTAGGAATGCTTACATTAATTCTGTCCACATGCCATTTTAACAACCACACCAAGATGTCTCACTGCTGTCAACTTTCATCCTTATTTGTCTCCTGTACTGAAAATAAACACGTATCACATTATGGAGACTGGGAGGAGAAGGAGGAGAAGGAGGAGGAGGAGGGTAGGTGACAGTAAAGTCTATAAGAAAAGGGTATCTGGTGGGAAAGCGTGAGAAGGTAATTAACTCTTTTGGTTCTTGAGCTCAACTTAGTATAATAAAAACTCATTTAATTACCTGAGTGTTTTGTTTGATTCTTGTTCTATTTTTAAAAATATCTTTTAATCTATTTTTCGTATTTTGTAGATTGAGATGGTGTGAGAGAGAGAGAGAGAGAGAGAGGGAGATGAAAAGACTTAGATAGATAGATAGATAGATAGACAGACAAACAAATGTGAGGATTAAGATTAAGATAGATAGATAGATAGATAGATAGATAGATAGACAAACAAATGTGAGGTAATTAAGATAGATGGAGAGATGAATAGACTAAGATAGATAGATAGATAGACAAACAAATGTGAGCTGATTAAGATAGATGGAGAGATGAATAGACTAAGATAGATAGATAGATAGATAGATAGATAGACAAATGTGAGGTGATTAAGATAGATAGATAGATAGATAGATAGATAGATAGATAGATAGATAGATAGATAGACAAATGTGAGCTGATTAAGATAGAGAGATATAATTAGAATGTGACAGACAGATAAAATGTCAAGATGATAGATCAGAAGGGCTGGTCAGTTTGTGTAAACAAACCACAGAATTTACTTCTATTTGTTTTAATGACCAACAAAGATCATCACATTTGAGTGTTTACCAAAATCCAAATATTTCTGTAATGCCTGCAAATCTTGGACATTAACTGCAGAATTACAGTGAAGAATCCAGGCATTTGAAGTGAGATGCTTCCAGAACCATTCTAGGCATCTACCTGTGTTGACCACATCTCCAATTATGCAATGCAAGACATCCTCAGACAAGAAACAGACTCATTGGAAAACCTCATATCTACCATCTACCATCCAGAAGAGAAAGATGAAATGGTATGTGTTGTAACCCAGGGAAGGTTACTGATTAGAATAATCAAACAATGGTTGGTAATGAATGATAATACTTAGGACAAGAACATATATAAGATTCACCAGAAGCACATAGAAGAAGTAGTCAACTGCTAGAAGTGAGTCAAGTGAATTCCACAATGAATCTCCAGCTACAGACCAACATACGGTATTTACTACTGTATTTATGTAAATGCAGACATACCCATTATTGTCCATAGGTATGCTACAACAGTATGGACATCTCATGAGAGAAAGATGAAATGGTATGAGCATTTCATAAAGAGTCAGATGAAATGGTATGGACACATTATGAAGAGAAAGATGAAATGGTATTTACACCTCAAGAAGAAAAAGATGAAATGTTAATGATACATTGTGAAGAAAAATATGAAATAGTATGGACACCTCAATCTGTAGGAGATGCCAAGGAGTTTCTGTAGAAGAAGCCAAGGAGTTGCTGTATGAGATGCCAAGGAGTTTCTGTATGAGATGCCAAGGAGTTTTCTGTATGAAACATCAAGGAATTTCTGTATGAGATGCCAAGGAGTTTCTGTATGAGATGTCAAGTAATTTCTGTAGGAGATGCCAAGGAGTTTCTGTGGGAGATGCCAAGGAGTTTCTGTATAAGATGTCAAGGAATTTCTGTAGGAAATGCCAAGGAGTTTCTGTAGGAGATGCCAAGGAGTTTCTGTATGAGACGTCAAGGAGTTTCTGTAGAAGATATCAAAGAGTTTCTGTAGGAGATGTCAAGGAGTTTCTGTAGGAGATGCTGAGGAGTTTCTGTAGGAGATGCTGAGGAGTTTCTGTAGGAGATGCTGAGGAGCTTCTGTAGGAGATGCCAAGGAGTTTCTGTAGGAGATGCTGAGGAGTTTCTGTAGGAGATGCCAAGGAGTTTCTGTAGGAGATGCTGAGGAGTTTCTGTAGGAGATGCCAAGGAGTTTCTGTAGGAGATGCCAAGGAGTTTCTGTAGGAGATGCTGAGGAGTTTCTGAAAGCTTCTCATCTGTATTGCCTGTCTCTTCTCAATATCTACTCTCAAATGCCACACATGTTCAAGAATATAGAGAGATCAGGGAGCATATTTATCATCTCTTACACATTCATTATATCATTATAATAACTTACTATGCCATCTGTTGGTTTAATAAGTGACTTAAAAAATGTTATGAGTGAACTTATGACAAAGACTTACAAAGAAAATTTAGTAATTAAAAAATTGTTATGAATAGTTCTTCTTATATGTACCATGACTCTTCAGGACATTGGTGATCATGGCTCTCCACAATTTCCTGTCCTTTGTAACACTTAATAACTTTTGTCTTTTTGCCATCTCTCCTAAACCCAGTTCCAGCATTCATTCAGTCAAGTTTGCCAAATAGTTTGTGTGTTGCTTTACTCTGGCTGTCTTACCTTCAATCTGTCCTGTGAGTATCAAATTTTCCAAGCCCTCTTTCCTAATTATGTGCCCCAGAAATTTCAGCCTTCTCTTCCTAATGTTAAGCATGTGTGCTTTTTGTTGTCATTGTCTCTAGAACTTTGTTGTTGCTTATATGTTCAGTCCATGGTATTCTCAGCATCCTTCTGTAGGACCAAATTTCTGTTGCTTCAAGTCTCTTCTTCATCTGTGAGGAGATTGTCCAGCATTCACTGCCATATAGGAGAACTGATATTACATAACAGTTCAGTACTTTTTTCTTTGTTACTAACAATATTTTTCTGTTTTTTAATATATTGCTCTCCTTTTTGGAAGTTACTAGTTTAAAAAATAGTCCTATTTCGATTGAGTTTGATTCTATACTATCCAGCCTAGAGATTGAACTCACAATTATGAAGAATAGTCTAATGGATTAATACACTGGTTTGTGAATTTGACCGTCTAGTAAGTGTGAGTTTAATCACTGGGTAGTACAGACTCAGCAGAATCAAGACTGACTAATAATGCTAACAAAAACTGAACAGTACTAAAAAGAACAAGAATAAATACCCTTTGACATGGACAATGAAGCAAGAACAGTCTACTCCTATAGATTAAATAAAGGTGTTGCAGGTATTATCCTTTACTTAAATAAAGCTTTTAAAGGTAACTCCTTAAATTACATTCAAACAAAGACATGCTCATGCTGCCTGAAAGTATCAAGTGATTTTAGTGGCTGCCACTGCATTAATCCTCGTAGTTTGGGATAGCAGAGAAAGAGAGAGAAAGCAAATCATGCAAGACTAGATACAACCAGTAAATAAGACAGAACCATTCAGTGTACCCTACACAGAAAACAATTTATAACAAATATATAACAAGAAAGAAATATACAAGCGTGGTCAATGTATAGAATGTCTATAATTGAAATGTAAAACTGTATGATTTTTTTTTTCATGACGATAAAATATGTCCTGGTTGTGAAGGCTGCATTTTGGGAGAGGTTAACACGACATCTTCCTACTGGGACATATGAATGAAAAAGAGGCCAAGCCTTGTGACCAATGTCTGGAAGGAGAAAAAAAGATAAGGAAAAGGATTGCTGTCTCTTTTTATATGCACCTGCAACAGAATTTCATTGGTTCTGCAGTAGCCTACATAATGTCAATTTTTAGTATTTCAAATAAGCATGACATGAAAATTCTAATTTCCACTAATATCCTTATAGTCCTCAGTTCAAAATACCCTAAAAAATACCCTGAAGTAGGTCAGAGGGCACAATGGGTTATTATAATAACATTGGGGATGTTCTATTATAATAACATTGGGGATGTTCTAATAGTCCCAAGTACTAGTCTTAAGCTTTGATGATTTAACTATGAAGTTATTTTTGACACAGAAAAAAGTCACTGTAAGAATGCTTCCTTGTGGAACCCCCTCTTTTTGATTTTGCAATTCTGATAGTGTAGTTCCTATATGGACTTGAAATCTTTGGTCTTCCAGGAAATTCTCTATGAATTGAGTCAGCCTTCCTTTTAAGCCCAGTTTATGCAGGTCTTGTTGTATTATATGCCTTTTGCAAGTCAAAAAAGACTTCCATGAGATGTTCCTTCCTGATGAAGGCTTCCCTTACAAACATTTCTAGGCATATTAAGTGATCTATGGTACTTCTTTTTTAAAAAAAAAGCACATTGGAAGTTGCTGATTAAGCTTTTATTTTCCAGGTACCAAGTCAACCTGTTGTTGTCCATTCTCTCCATAGTTTTACATAGGCAACAGTTTAATGCTATCAGTCTGTAGTTTTCAGGGTCTGTATCATCCTTTCCAGGTTTTGGAAGAGGGACAATAAGTGACTGTCTTCACATTTCTGGAAAGTTGCCATTTGTCCACATGTTATTATACAATCTTAATAACAGTTGTAATGATTTGTTGGGTAGCTGTTTTATAAATTCATAGTAGATACCATCTGAACCCACAGCCATATTGTGGGATTTCTTTAAGGATACATTTAGTTCCTCCAGAATGAGTGGTAGGTTGCACCTCTTGGCATTATTTGATTTAAAGTTTAGTTTTTTGTTTTTCTGCTTTTTGCTTGAGCTTTAGAAATTGTTAGCTAACATTCTTGGCAGATGAATTTTTAGAGATTGTTTTGGCTTGTTGGTCAGTGATATCCTTTTTACTGCTTATTTTAGAGTTATTTATTGACAGATGTTTCACAGTGTTTTCCTGCTATTTTCTTTATGGATTTTGTTTTTGTAGCAGAATTGAGTCTGTTGATATAGTTTTTCCAGCATTCTTTTTCTAGTTGTCTTAATTATTTTCCATGCTTTTGCTTGGAGTTGTTTAAATTGCAGCAAATTAGATGTTGTAGGTTTTTTGTTGAATTCTCTCAGAGTTGCTCTTCTTACTATGATGGCTTTTTTACATTTATCATTGAACCAAGGTCTGTTGTGTTTTCTGGTGCTGAATTTTTTGGAATGCATTTTTTAGCTTCTGTGAAATATTTTAAGTTCTTGATGCTTTGTCCTTCAACTAGATTTTCAAACATTGTTTTTTAAATTCTTCCCAGTTCACTCTGTGTAATTTCCAATGGAGAGGATTTTTGTCATTATGTCCTGAGTTTTGTAGGATGATTGGCAAGTGATCGCTACTACATGTGTCTGCTGGTACCTTCCAAAGAAATCCATATAAATTGATGGATCACATCGGGATGAGTCTATTGCTGTGTAGTTGCCAGAAAATGGATTTATGTAAGTTGGGGTTTTATCATTTATAAATACATAAATCATTATAAATTATTGTTTCTAAGGTCCTTCCAATTTGGTTTGTGTTATTACATCCCCAAATGGTTCTGTGACAGTTAAAGTCCCCTAGTATCATAAAAGGGACATGATTTCATGACTTTTAGCTTCATTTACTGGTTCATTTGGTGGAATATATACCAAGCAGATGTTTATTGTCCTGTGTAAGGTCATTTTAACAGCAGTAACCTGTAAAGTAGTTGTTAAATTTATTTTACTTTGAGGTACATCATTCCTAACTAGAACGGATGTACTGTCTGACGCTTGAAGTCCAATGTCATTTTGCTTAAGGAATGTTTCCTGAAGTTAAACAACTGCTGATAATAAGTCTGTTATTATCAGAAGCAGTTCATTTATGTTTGCCTTTATTCTGTAGCAGTTCCATTG